AACAAACCAAGTAGGCCACCCCTAGCATCGGCCGGCTAAACGTCCGTCCCAAATTGCTACCAATTTCCAGACTTTCGACAAGGGACCAATGGGTGGTTGGAGGGCGCCACTAGTAGGCCCTACTACTTTTCTTTCCCTCTTTGTTTCTGTCTGTCTGCATTACTTCTTCCCGGCATTATGTGACCGTTGTCGTGGGTGGTTGGTGGGTGCTCTGGTGTGGTTTGCTCCTTCTTTCCTATCAAACATCTATCGTCCTTATCTCCCCTTCTCCTTTTTTATGTTTGTTACTCTCGTGTAACACCTCTAATCTACTGGCGCTCAGATGACCTTATGCGGTTGCGAGCGCCGTAAAACCTCTACTAAAACTAAATTGTGTCGATGTGCTTGTTCATGATATTATACTAGTTTTTAAAATTATTCTTTTGTTTCTTTTTTTCCAGAGGAACCGAGAGCTGCTGAGAGAGCTAGAGGAGCGAGTCCAGGGTGGGGCTGGATCAGCCGGGCCTGCTGCGGCACAGGAGATGGCCTCTCTCAAACAGGTCAGCTACAGTGGTCTCTGTCATCATCGTCATCATTATCATCATCATCATCGTCATCAATATTACTACCATCATCATCATAATTATTGCCATCATCATCTTCGTCGTCATCATCATCGTGGATGTCATCATCGTTATCATCACCATCATCATCATCATCATCACTGCCTTTCTCACCCTGAACCAGAGTATAGGCCACAAACAAACACGTTCCACCTTTCCCTATCCTGGGCTTCTAGCCTCTTGATATTATTCCGTGTCTTCCCACTTTTCTGTACCTCATTCTCTGGGACTCTTTTTCAGGTTCAACATGGCCTTCCCCTTGATCTCTTACAGTGGGTCTCTCTGTAGTTTTTTGTTCATATCTGTACCTCTGTGGGTGGTGGGAGGGTGCCACTGATGAGTCCTACTTCTTTGTTTCTCTCTGTTGTTTCTGTCCATCTGTGTTACTTTTTCCCTTCTCTGAGTGATCACAGTAGTTTGACGACGCCACTGCTAGGTTATACTTCTTTTTTTTTCTAGGGGCGTATGCTGTGGTGTTCTTTTGTTGCTGAATGAACTTATAAAAAGGGGTAAAGTACTTTTCCAGAGGATAAAAGATAATTTCAGAGCCTTGAATAGAACTCGCATCTTTTATATTTCAAATCTTAGGTCTTATGGCTCAACAAGCATAACCCTATATAAATTCTTTGCAAGTCAGAACATAGAGAACTGCTATTAGCTTTGAAGAGGGTTGAAGGAACCTTAGTTAAGTCTAGAGAGCTTTAGATTAAGAAACCAGTATAATTGAGTAGGGAGGGGGTGTAAGGGACCTCAATTACGTAGGGAGAGGGTATAAAGTACCATAATTAAATCAAGAGAGGGTTTAAGAATTATTTTATGAATGTAGGAAAAGGTTTAAAGAATCTTAATCTAATCAAGAGAGGGTTTAAGAAATATAAATTAAACGAAGAGAGGGTTTAAAGAACCTTAATGTAGTCTAGAGAGGATTTAAGGAGCCTAAATTAAGTTGGGAGAGAGTTTCTAAAACTTTGATAAAGTTGAGAAAAGGTTTAAGGATCCTTAATTAAGTCGGAGGAGGGTTTAATGAACTGTAATTACGTCAGGGGTTGGTTTGAGGAAGCTAAATTAAGCCAAGAGAGGATTTAAGTAATTTTAATTAAGTCAAGAGAGGGTTTAAAGAACCTTCATTAAATCAAGACAGGGTTTGCGTTACCTTGATTAAGGTGAGAAAGAGTTTAAGGAATCTTAATTAAGTCAGCAGTTGGTTTGTTTGAAGTTCTAGGTGACACGGCTGGCTGAATTGTTGAATCATTTTCTCTTCAGGAGCGTGAGCTCCAGTGCCGTGAGCTGCTCATCCTCAAGAAGACAGTGGAAGAGCTGGAGATTCGCATTGATAGTCAGAAACAGACGCTGGAAGCTCGCGATGAGAGCATCAAGAAGTTGCTGGAAATGCTGCACAACAAGGGCGTTAATGTGGCCAAGGTATGTATGTGTGTGTGGGTGGGTGTGTGTTCGTGCATACGTGTGAGTGTGTGTGTGTGTGTGTGTGAAGGTGACTGGAGCCTACTCACGGAGGTCCTACTATCCTTTCTCGTATTATTTTGATTAGTGTACGTCATCTCTCTTTTTTAGTGTATGTTGTTTTTCCTTTTTCCAAGAACAAGATGGTTGTTGTTTTATTGAGGAGCTTCTGTCTATCTATCAGAGTATTATGTGTGTGTGAGAGAGAGAAAGGGGGAGAAAGAGAGAGATGTGCCCATTTGTCTGATGTATGTATTGGTCTACTGATCTTGATTTCATTTTTAATGTTTGTTTTCTTTGAATACAAACAGGTCAATATAATTTCAAAATGTTATTGCGTAATTCAATTTTGATTCAGACTTTTTTCTATGTACAGACAGTTTTGCAGGCTCGCTTTTAGCCACTTAAAGTTCATTTTAAAAAGTCATGATACACAAGATGTCTTGTATCTTTCATAAGAAAATTATGACTCAAGTAACCTTTGAACGCCAGCATTCAAGCATGTACCATGAGTCTTTATTCATTTTTTCTGCCCTTAGGGCTTTCTTGAATGCGCTTTACTGTCATAGTTTATAATTAGTTTATTGAATATCTGTTGTGTTCGTTTGGCTGTGCTTTTTTATTTTCCTTTGTCACCCTTATTGACCCGTTTGAGTCTCTTTATGTTCACATAGATTATTTTTTTTATATTTTGTTCACCCCTAGAGTTTATGGTGCTAATTCAAAGGAAAGTAGGTAGTGTTATTAATGCACATTTGTCCAATTAGGCTATTTTGTGAATGTATCAGTCCCAAAGCGCATACAGACAATTTGAAGTGAGCGCTCAGTCAGTTCAGTTGGTATGATGCTGAACTACAGAGCAGATGGCCCTAGTTCAAAACCCAGACTGAGCATTCCTGAATTTAGGTTGTTTTGTGGTGTTTTCAAGGCTCTCTCAACTCATTTGACTTTAACCTATCGGAGACGGTCGTTAAATATGGAGGTCCCGCCTCTTAAGTAAACTAATAGTGTTGAGAGGGGCATTAAACGGATACACTTACACTTACAATTTGAAGTACCTGTCTTGTAGGAAAAGATCTGAGTCAATAGTAAATTTTAGTGGGAGGGAAGGGGGGGAGGGGGGGTGAAGTGAAGTTGATGGACAATGATTTAATCATTTAATGGATGGAGTCGGGATGGGGGGTTGCTTCTTGTCATCTTAATAGGAACTGTTTTATTTATGACACATTTTGGTGGTTCAACAATCATCTCTCAATAAAAAACTTTGGGGGGGGGGGGAGCAGGGGTTTGTCGGAAGATTTTTTGTTTGTTTGTTGGTTGGTTTTTGGGGGTGTGCATATACATCTATCGATATGCTGAAAGAGAAATAAAGGAACTAAATGTGATAAATCATAAAGTGTTGAAAATGATGACCAGTTTTTCTAAAGGAATTTCAATCAATATTTCTATTCTCCTATGCAGAGTTGACTTGTTGGCAGTCGTTGATCTCATGCCTTGTGAGCTTGTCTTACTCTTGAAAGTAGATTTTTTAAACCTATTGTTATGCAATTCATCTTTCTGCCGTCTTTGTCGCAGAATTTTGTGTACTTCTTGAAACAATTTTTGTATTATTGATAATGATCCTGTTAGTTTCCTTAAGTCCCAAAGCAATTTTAGTTACCCATGTATGAATCACTCTGTTGGTTTAGAAGGCTGATGCTTTTATTTTGGCATGCATGTGACGTATTGTAATGCAAGGCTCAGTGGAGACTCAAATTTTGCAATAAAGAACATGTTTTTCTTTCCTTGCATGGCATAGCTTCACATAGCCAGCAGATTGTTTCTAGCTCGTTTTTAGACCTATGTCACTCAGTGCCTCTGAGAATTTCTGTTTGAAATGAGCACAAATTTTTGTCTAGGTTCTCTTTTATTATAGTTATACTTTTTTTCTGCTGTTTTGTTTGTATGTTTTTCATTCTTTTATTTTTGTCTTGTAATCAGCCAAAATGAAGTTTATAGTGCATTAGATGAAATCATGAAAGTAATTTTTAAGTTGTTTCAGAGCTGACTTTGAGATGTGCTTGAAGACTTGATGTGGTTTTTTTACTGAAAGGGGGGGG